CTTCTCCTTTTTTTCTTACCCTAGTTTTTTCCTCTTTGAACTTTTCACTTACCTATATTTTGCCTTTTATCAATTTTTCTTGAGACTCCTTCTCTTACCTTTTATTTTTATTTTAATTTTATTTTTTATTTTATCAATAACTCCTTCTCTTACCTTATTCTCTCATATTTTATTAATATATTTTGTCTATCTATTTTATATTTTTTTATCAACATCTATCAACTCTACATTCATTCTCAATTTTCTCTTTATATAATAATAATTTGATTGTTATCAATTTTTCCCTCATTATACTTATTCTTTTAATATTATTTTTTATTTACTGATTATGTCTATATTTATTGTTACATATCATTTCCACCCCAATTTCTCTCTCTCTCTTTCTTACTCTCCCTCATTTTGTGTATATTAGAATTGTTTAACTTTTTATCTTAATGAATATATTTAAAATTTGTAGTTTAGACTTTTGAGAAAGAAAAGGTTTTTGCCAAAAATAAATTTCAATAACTCAAAAAGTGTGTAGTTTAAAATAAGCAAAAAAACCCTTTTTAAGCCCCTAAACTTATTCCAAAATAGCATTTAAGTCCCTAAACTAAAAACGAAGCAGATAAGTCCTCAAACTCCACTAATGATGCAAATAAACTCTTCTAATTCATGGGTGTTCATGCTTTCAAGGTGATTTTAAACAAAGCAGAAGTGCTTATTTGTATCGTTAGTGGAGTTGGAGGGCTTATTTACTTCATTTTTAGCTTAGGAGCTTAAATGTTGTATTGGGGTAAGTTTGTGAAAGACATCAAGCAAACAAAAAGAAAAAACTGTTGATGCGTCTTTCTAAGATTTGAATTTCATGTTCAATAATCAAATTATTTACTGCATGTGCTGGGAAAAAAGCTTTATGTCTGTGATGAACAGATTTTCTGACATCTTCTCCTTCTTTTGTATCATAGAAAGTAGAAAATGTTCTCTTTATAATTTTACAACCATAATTTCCATTACATGAAGCTTACGAAAACCTTACACAAGTAAATTTGATTGAGATGGAACAAGACAACACCAAATAAAATGTTACAATGAATCAGTAAATGGAAGTAATTTTGCAGAAAAGAAAGAAACCACTGTCAAAGTATACACTGTATAAAATTACATTAGAAGGAAACCAGAACACGAATCAAATTATACACTGTATTCCCGTGCTTGGAAGTAGTTTTGCTTACAAAGAAAGAACTGGCATTAGATACCAGTACATCTAATAAGTTAATTCTAGCATTATTCTGAACGGGATTGACAATGTGAATCTAACTGTGCCTTTGAATCTCCAAAACTATCGAGGACATAGCTCTGTGATTGAAACTTCGTTATTTGTCAAAGGGAGTGATTCTTCCTTTGATCTCTTTGAGTTTGATACCCATGAATTGTAGCCATATGAGGATGACATACCTGATTCAATGGTGCTGTGCATAAAAAATGCAGGTTGAGAGGGCACTGGGAGACTGGTTGAATTGCTACTAAGTGTGAGAACAATTGAAGCCATGGTTGGTCTGTCAGCAACATTTTCTTGAACACATAGCAAACCAATATGGATGCATCTCATCATTTCAGCCGTTGAACCGTTCCTTAAAATTGGATCTATGAGATTTAATCCTGTCCCTTCCCTCCAGTTTTTCCATGCCTGCAAAAAGTTACAAATGCACACGGGCATGAGGCATCAAAATGTGACCCAAGTAAGAAGGAACTTTTATTCAGCCAAAGTGGGAAACTTAACTCTATATTTTCACACTTACATGAGTTAGTAGGTCCTCTATGTTCTCCCCATTTCGGAAACAACTATTTTTCTGACCACTTACAATTTCCAAAAGTAATACGCCAAAACTGAAGACATCTGACTTTATTGAGAACTGCCCATGCATTGCATACTCTGGAGCCATGTATCCACTGCAATTATATCAATGACAATGGGATAATTTTCAAGATAAAAAATGATACTCATGTTCTAGTAGTTTCCTAATGCAATACATAAGAAAGCCATTCTTGGTAACTTTCATGCTGTCAATAAGGAGCAGACCTAATTGGATATTTATTTGTACAAGAACCAATTTAAAGTTTTACTATGTTTGATATATACTTACTAAGTTCCCACAATTCTACTAGTATTGCCTTGTGTTTCATCTCTAACAAATAATCTTGCCATGCCAAAATCTGCAATTTTAGAGTTCATATCTTCGTCTAACAAAATGTTACTCGCTTTGAGATCGCGATGAATTATTCGAAGACGAGAATCCTCATGTAGGTAAAGGAGGCCACGAGCTATCCCTCCGATGATTTTGTAACGGCTTTCCCAATTTAGTTGTGCGCGCTTGATTGGATCTATATGTTCATAGTTCATATGAGAGTATGTCACTAACCATAAAAAAAAAAGACCATCGACTAGGATATGAATTTAAAGAAGTTGAGGGCTTTGCAGATGACCAGAACATAAAGGTGTAACCCCTTCAAACATGCAAACTCAATTGTAATTATTTATGAACAGAATTAAAATATGAATCAAGAGCAAAATCTAAAAGGCACCTACCAAAAATAAAATGATCAAGGCTTGTGTTTGGCACAAATTCATAGATGAGAAGTCTTTCATCTCCTTCCAAACAGAAGCCCAAGAGTCTTACCAAATTCCGGTGTTGAAGCTTGGCCACTAAGAGAACCTCATTCTTGAATTCTAAGTCTCCTTGTCCGGAACCACTAGATAACCTTTTCACGGCTACTTCTTGTCCATTTGGAAGGTTGCCCTGTATATAAAATCGTGTGGTACTAACTAAATTTAAGTTCAATGAATACCAAATTTCAAGCTAATTCAATACACTCAGATGTTTAATAATTAATGTTGTTTTTTAATTCATAACATCCATTACCTTGTAAACTGCTCCAAATCCTCCTTGTCCAAGTTTATTTTCATCACAGAAGTTATTAGTTGCGGCCCGAACAGTGGCTAAGTCATATTGCAAAGACTCCGTTTGGATCATTTCATCTGCTTCTGCACCTGCCAAAAGCAATACATGGGATATGGGTAAGATTAATGGCATTCTCAGTAGGAGGAGTGCATTTCAAAAATATTAGTATTGCTTACTTTCAAAAATTTCTCTTGGCTTTTTGCGTCTTAAACAGATCCAAATACAGAAGACAAGTGACAGAATACCGATAACCGAGGGAATAACGGCAATGATGATTATTCGAGTTGTGTTGCTCGCATTCACTACAAGAAAATCCACATTTAGTGATTAAATTATTAATAATTAAATCTTTATTTTTCGTCACAAATTATTATTAGTAATAAAATTTAAACCGTTAGTAAAACCCTTGTCACTAATGCTCTTAATGACAAATTAAGTACCTGTCACAGAAAATAATTTTATAGTGATAAAAAAAATTGACATTGTTAATAAGTTATTTATAACAATTTTATTTGTCACAAAAAAACATTCATCACAAATGCAATTATGATGCAAAATTTAGTTATTAATTATTAAAATTGATATTAAATAAAAA